ACGCAAGTTCTCGTCCGATCACTTAAGCTAAGCAACGTTGAGCGTGGTTAGTACTTGGATGGGTGACCGCTTGGGAACACCACGTGCCGTTGGCCCTTCCTTTTTTCTTTTTTTCTAAATTTTCAGTAATAAAATGGCAGTTACATAATTTGTCTGCTATCGAATTCATCATTTTGCACGTGGTCAATGGTTAATTTTGCATTTTCATGGGTTAATTCTTCATTCATTGCGCCGAATAAGAAGCATTTGTTGTCTTCTTTATCAATTTCAAATAATGCCCGTAAATGATGTACCCTCATCATCTGTTGCCCACAAATAAAACAAGAAAATTGTAACAATTAGAAATGAAAAATCAATAGCATAAAATAGCGATTTCCACAAAACATAAGGTGAAGTTTCTTCTTGATACATGAGCGATGGGTGTTCGTAAAAATCCGAAAGGGCGTACCAATGATTATTTCTGACTCCAGGTATTCAATAAACAGCTGTCTCTGGCAGCGAATGCAGCCCAACAGAAGATCGACTCAGGTCTGTGGACTCACATGTTGATCAGCACAAATGTCTTCACGAAGGCGATCTTCACGGTGACAGGTAAGGACATGGCGGTTTTCATCGATCAGTGGGTGCGTACTGGAGGGCACGCCAAGTTTTCCCTGAGCTTCGTTTTTAACAGAAAGAGAAACACAGTTGAGCTTGAGATTCGCCAAGACACATCAAGCTCAAAAGGCATCAGGAAATACGTGGGGCCTTTACTGGTGAACATCCAGGAGCTGGACGGCACCTTCAAGCATACCCTCCAGATCGAGGGAACCGTCGCCAAGGCTGATATCACGTGCCACAGCAAATCCCGGAGAAACAAGAAGAAGAAAATTCCACTGTGCACTGGGGAGGAGGTGGACATGGACCTCTCAGCCATGGACGACTCACCAGTCTTGTGGATCCGCCTAGACCCTGATATCATTTTGATGCGTTCTGTAGTGATAGAGCAGCCGGATTACCAGTGGCAGTATCAATTGCGCCACGAAAGAGACGTGACTGCGCAGTTGGAAGCCATCGAGGCTCTTCAGCATCACTCCACACCAGCTACAAGACTAGCACTCACTGACACAATCGAGAACGAGCACTGCTATTATAAAGTCCGGCTCAGAGCCGCCCACTGTCTCACCAAGGTACTAAAGTCGAAGTGTCAATGGGTGATTCCACGGAAATAGTGATTATCACGAAATCATTCTTTTCATCATCATTACAAGATAATACCTGTACTGACATAGATATCACTATTTCTGTGGAATCACCCAAATATCTTTTACTGTGGGCGCCGCCATTTTGTAAACCTCCCTTCACAAAATCATCCCATCACGCATTTTGATTAATCATTAAAATTATTCATGCTATTCAAATGGCCCTCGCTCTTGTTCCGGGGAGATCAAGAATTTTTTCAACCCAATTTGCAGTTATTTCTGTCAATTGGTGGTTGAGAAATCCTGAAGCGAAGTATTGGTAGTATTTTAGACCATTTCTTTTTCAATTTCAAGGTCGCCAACGCCATGGTGGGCACCTGGGCAGGACCTCCAGCCATGCTAGCCATCTTCAGAAAACTCTACGGCTCGGCCTCCTGCAGAAGAATAATCAAGCAGAACAATTTCACGAATTTTCAGCATTATTTTCTGCAGAAGACTATCCCTGTCGCCATGGCAGGCCTCAGGAACGCCCATGGAATCTGTCAACCTGAGGTTCTTGCTTTTCTTATGGATCTGTTCAAATACAACGACAACAGCAAGAACAGGTACACTATAATACACATATATTTTATGTAATTCTCTAAAGCTAGGCATTATGTTTCATATTGTATGTTAATGTGAGATTTGGAGACGTTAATTCTCGAGGAATATCTCTGAATCTAAAAGAAATCCAAACGAAAATTTTGCCATCCCCATAAATTGCGGGAATCACCACTGAAATAATTTTCTCTGCACCCGCAGATACTCAGACAACTACTACAGAGCCGCCCTGATCGAGGCCCTTGGCGCTACCGTCACCCCCGTAATCAGTGTCCAACATGGTGCCTCGATAACAGCCGATTCGCTATCAATAGACACTAAAGCAATTCTAGAAGAGGTGACGAGGAATTTAAATCTCGAGAAGCTTCTCCCCTGCTACAAGTACACGGTGAGTGTTACTTGTCTCAGGGTGATCAGGATTCTCCAGAAATTCGGTCACCTTCCGAGCAATCCGAACCTCTTCAAGGCCTACGCGGCCTATGGGCAATTCATCGACGTTAGAATCGCCGCCCTGGAGGCCTTAATCGATTTCACAAAGGTCGACGGCAAGTGGGAGGACCTAGAGTTTCTTCTAGACATGGCAGAGATGGATCCACATCCTGGGATCAGGCACAAACTCGTCAGGCTAATGGTGGAGAATCCGCCGTTCGAGAGGGCCCACAGGCACAGGCTCGACACACCTGATCTGGTGGACAGAATTTGGAATTTAATGAATGGAATGCTGTCCCATGACTCCAAACTCAGGTGTGACTTTGTCGATCTTTATTATACCCTTTATGGTACTAAGAGGCCCAATTGCCTGCCCATACCTGAATTGGCGGGGATTTTAAAGCCGAAAAGGGCGCCAAGTGCCGAGAGAGAGGAGAAATTGATGAAGAACGCGATGTATCAGAAGAATGATATCGTGAACGTGGATGTAACTCCTGTTGTCAAACGCAAGGCCTCACCCACAAGGGATGGAGATAATGGGCCCGATGGGCTTGAGAATGGGCCAGTTGTGAAGAAAGCCAAGGCCCAGGGGGCGCCTGAGGTCAGAGCGGGGCCTCAAGCGCCACCTGGAGAGGGCAAGGTCAAGACAGAGTATTATTCTGATAATTCGGCATCACTTCCGGGCCTCATGGGTATGGGCAGTCAGGGCCCCGTTGGTTTCGAGCCTGGGATGTTTAAGAAGGAGGAGGAGGCGAAGGGCAAGGGCGAGGCGGGGGCCAAGGGCAAGAAGAAGAAGAAGGATAAGAAAAAACATAAGCATAAGCATAAACATAAACATGATCATAAGCATGGGAAGGAGAAGGAGAAAGAGAAGAAGGAGAAGGGGAAGGAGAAAGGCAAGGACAAGGACAAAGAGAAGGATGCGTTCAAGGTCAAGGAGGAGACGCTTAGCTCTGTCAGCTCTAGTCCAAGCCCTGAGCCTGGGGGCAACAAAGATTATGGGACTATGTAAAGAGGAATAATGCCCGTGGTCTGATATTTGTACATAGTGATGAATAAGATTTTATGATAATTAGGTTTCAATCAGGATAAATTTTTCATCTTCAATGTTCGATTGATTTTCGATGGATCTTATCGAATTGTCGAGATAAATCTTCAGATGAGGAAGAAGTAAATTAATTAGAATAAATTATTTCGAGAAATATATGAAATTTCAAATTTTTATGAAAATAAAAAATTCATTCTATTTCTATTTCTTGTGTCAATTCCCCTTTTTCGAATTCTTGCGTTATATCAAAATAATTATATCAATAAATCGTTAATTAAATGGGGTGAATCGAGGAGACATTAAAAAGAATTTAAAACCCTCCAATCACAACACCGGGAATTCAAACAATAAAATCCCGGGATGTCCCCTTCCTGCCGCGAACGATTCAATATTTCAATTAAACCATTGCTAAATTACTAAAATAAAATGTCTTGAATTGATTTAATGGGGATAAAATAGTCAGATAGATCGTAAAATAAAATTACAAAACTGAAAATCGCTCTGAGAATTAATTTCTCAATGACAACCGTTGAAATTCAAACGCCGAAATCCCGCGCTGTCTCCCTTCTACCGCCAAAAATTGAATTTTCACCTTGAGCCGGTGGTGGCGCTGTTACAGCTGTGGTTGCGCCAATTTCGAAGGCGACAGAGGCCAAGAGTGACTCGGGCTATGGTTTTCGAAAATTTTTGACATTAAAAACCGCAACGTCAAACCGTTAATAATGGCAGACAATCTGCAGAGTAGATTCGAGAAATCCCTGGGCTTGCTCACCACACGTTTCGTTAATTTATTGCAAAAGGCCAAGGACGGAGTATTGGACTTGAAAGTCGTGAGTAAACCATCAACAAAGGGGACCCCAATTTTTTTTCCACCCATAACAAGTGCTGAGTTTTTAGGTTAAGTCACGCCATTACGGCTTATCCTTGCGGGAAGTTCAAAATAAATTCGTTTGTCATGGAAAAAATTGGGATTTGAAGTCAATCAGGCAAATTTGTCACTTTTTTTGGCTCGATTGGTGGTGGGGGTAGGGATGGGGATGGAATTTAAGGGATTGGCGCCTCTTGGGGCTGAGGGATGCCTTTTTACATAACCTCGAGGGATTTTTCCCAATTGATGACGATCTCGATTTTTGGGAATTTCAGGCTGCTGATATCCTTGAGGTACGACAGAAACGACGAATTTATGATATCACCAATGTTCTTGAGGGTATTGGACTCATTGAAAAGAAGAGCAAGAATTCAATACAGTGGAAGTGAGTATTGCGTTTTAATTTTTTAATCATTACGTCGGAATTTTTGTCTCAATTGAATTCAAAAGCATTTCATTTGAATCTCATAATGTTTTTATTCAAATTAAAAATATTCATATGGCTTTAATGATCGACGGAATAATACAGAATACCAAGAGATAAATGATAAAATCAGAATTGAAGAATTGACGGTTTATTGTGTTTCGAATAAAAATGATAAATTATTTATTTATTTAATTTTAAGAATTAATTCTTTTGGGTAAGTGAGAATTTTTGTTTTGACAGACAATGTTTATAAATTCTTTTTATTGATTTTTCGAGTGTAAATTTTTCAGAGGTGCAGGCCCTGGCTGCAACTCAGACGAGACTGGGGAAAAACTTGGGGATCTCAAGGACGAGCTGCGAGAGCTGGAGGAGCACGAGGCAACTCTAGATATTCACATGCAGTGGATCCAGCAGAGTATAAAAAATATCGAGAATGATTTCAAGAATAGAAAATTCGCGTACATTACGTATGAGGATGTTAAGGAGCAGTTCCCTGATGAGTTCGTCCTGGCCATCCAAGCACCACCTGACACCATCCTCAAGGTGCCTAATCTCCCAAAGTGCATTCAGAGTGATAAACAGAACTTCGAGATGTTTCTCAAGAGCACGGGGGGTGAGATCAAGGTCTATATGGTCCAACCGAGTCTTGCTGAGACTTATGAGAACAGGATGATGGAAGTCATGCAGCAGGAGTCCAGGGGAATCAAGAGGGAAAAGATTGACGGAGAAAAGAGGGAGGAGAGCAAGCCAAAGAGGAGAATCTCCAGGTACAATCAATTATCTCTTGATTTTTTCTCCGAAAAATTTGAAAATACTATTTTGAAAACAGATAAACTACTTTAATATTTTTTTAAAGTGAATTAGCTGTTTTTAAATATTTTTCATTCATAGAAGAATTGGGAGAATCAATTAGTTCAAATGAGAAGAATTCTTTCTTCACCAGAAAAATTGAAATTTTATTGGAATTTTATGCTAAAAAAATGTTTTAAGGAAATTCTTTTTAAGGAAATGTTTAGAAAAAAGATTGAAGTTCGTCTTTTTGTTATTTTTTTTAATTGGGTAGAGGTTTTATTTTGATTCTTGAGCTCTATTTCGCCTCGTGGATGTGAAGAATATATTCACGATCTGCAAAGAGCTGATAGTAATTAATCGATCCGGGGATGAAGAGTTTTGAGAGGAGACTCGTTCATTTGGATATTGATTGAACAGATTTTGATGGTTTTATCACCCGACAGAGAATAAATTTTCAATTTATTGATAATCCAGTGATGTTTTTAGATCGTCTAGGGGTAGCACAAAAGTTGAGATCTCTGACGACGAGGATCAGGAGGACGGGGATTTATTGGAAGCAAAAATAATTCTCAGTGATGTCAACACCTCAAGTGAGTCAATCCACCAGAATTTATTCAAACAAAAACGTGAAGATGTGATTATTTATTTATTGTAATTATTTCAGATCTTATCGGAACTGAGGACCATTTGCTGGAGGAATTCTATGCAGACTGTGAGAATGATAAATTAATTAATTTGAATTCTAAAATGATTCAAGGCTTTAGGTGATTAATTATTTTTTTTCATTTTAATTTCAGTTTGTGGACCATTAGTAAGTTTAAGTCCTCCTCCAACGGACAAGGACTACCACTTCAACCTCTCGGAGAACGAGGGAATCTTCGACCTCTTCGATATTGCGGCATAGTAATTACTCCAACATCTCCAACAGATAACCACTACTAAATTGTGAGCATGACGAAGAGTGGATCACGTGTGGATGTGTATTTTTTTTTCAACTAGGAATTTTTGAGTTTTTTCTTTCGATTTTTTAGAACAATTATGTCAACTGAGTATCTCCAATGGTTTATCAAACCAACTAATAATGATGTTGGTAATTTTTTATCATTTACCTGAGGGTCTTGTCGAGGTCAATGGACAGTTGATATTTTTTGTTTGTTTTGAGAAGGAAGAAACAATCAACAATTGTAAGGATCAATCTCATGTGCGGCTGAGAGTTATTGTACCTATATTGTATTTTATCTGTTATTCAATATAAGAATTAAACAATTGACGATTTTCCAGAATTTATCTCACTTCATTCACGAGAGCTATTCCATTTTTTTTCTTTCGCATTTAATGATCTCAATATGGCATTTTTTCAGAAGAAAAAGTGTTAGACGCTTTTTGTGGAGGATTTCATTACCTAGAAAATCGGTTTTTTCACATTTTCTTCTAAATTTAATAATTATGGAGGTGAATGGGTATTTTTCGGGAGTATAAAACGTATGCTGCTTTATTTTAGAAGAAAGCTGAAAATTACTATGTTTTTAACCTGAAAAATCTCGGGAATGACCAAGTCAAATTTTGAAAATGACAGGTTGTTTTGAAGCTCTTGAATTACCCTTGCAAACAAGACATAGCTCATCTGAATCTGATTGTTCACTCCGAAGATATTTGCGATACAAGATTCGCATTCCTCAAATCCAAAAATTCATAATTCATAGTCTGCGCCAGAGTACCAGGCGCATGCGTCGGCTGCCCGCGGGAATTCAAGGTTGCGATAAGAATGACCCAGAATTAAACAATTTCATCATCACGAGACAGTCACCAGTGCGCGTGTGTGCCCCGTGGTCTCAAGAGTAAAATATACTCGGCTAAAAAAGCCAAGACCTCGTGAAAATGTCAGTGACTCATTAATTTTCTCTCATGAATTCTCACGACAAAATTCACTCGATTGATTTTTATGACAAACCAACAACTCCACGGATGTGTCAACGCTCGGTAAAACCTCCGGACTTACTCTGTCACCCGCACTTTGGATCAGCTGATTGATCTAATCAAGGTAAAGGTAAATTCATTGTTGAGTGCAATAAACGTCATGCGTTCAAAGACATTTGGTTACGTCATTACGTGGTTACAACTCCGTGGGCTGTCGTGTTTGGTTCAGTCAGCAGTGACCGGTTGTCGAAACAACACGTCGAATTTTACGTCGCCCCGAGGTAGTGGATTGTCTGATTAGTTTTGAGAATTCTGTGGGGATTCCCGAGTTTTCCTCCTACAACAAAAGTTATTTCTTATAAAATGTGCATTTCCCCGGGAACGAGTGGACTTACAACAAAATATGACAAGAGATTTTCTGTAGAGATTGAAATTCCCTAGATAATAAGTCTTATGACATTTTTCTCTAAACCTACTCGTTCTCGAGATATATCCGTAATTGTGGTCACATGGAGAAAGCTTATTCGATTGTTTTCAGAATAATCATCTGAGGAAGTGGAGGAGTAGAGGAGGCAGAAGAGATGGGGATACGAGTGATATTCTATAAGTTCCGGGAAATAACCAGGAAGTATCCAGTGATCAGGGGGATGGCTGCTTATTCGGCTATCTGGCCCGCAGGATGCCTCATCCAACAGAAATTCATCTCCAAACAGGAACTTAATTATCTCCAGGCGCTGAGGTTCAGCCTCTACGGTGGATTTTTTGTTGCACCGACTCTCTACGGATGGCTGACTATAGCTACTCGAATTTGGCCGAAGAATACATTCAAATCTGCAATTACCAAAGTACTTCAAAAAATTACAAACCGAAACCAATCGAAATCATAAAAGAAAATTCCTCCATCACGAATTTAACAAAAACCATTGACTCCAAGGTGGAAACACAGGAGAATGTTTTTGTGGAAAATTTAATTTCCCACAAAAAAGGTCTCTTATACTTCCGCCTGCAACCAATAGTTTTCCAAATAATCGGTATTTAATAACAGAAAATTCCAAACAAAATTCCAATTATCCCATTGTACTGCCTTTAGTAATTTATATTTGTTAATTAATATTTATTACTGTTTTTAGGCACTTGTAGAACAGGTGACGTACGGGCCGGCGGCCATGTGCTCTTTTTTCTTCGGAATGAATTTACTGGAGTTCAAGCCAGTCTCTGAATGTGTGGAAGAAGTCAAGCGGAAATTTATCCCTACGTGGAGGGTAATTAATCACTTCTCTTTATATTCATTTGAAAAAAATTGTAAAACGTTTTCCTTCCATGCACAGAGAAAAGACGATACTTAAAATATGAGTTTGGAAATGTAAATTATTATATTTCAACATGCCTGCAAAGAAAAATTCGTATTTTGCTGTTTGAAAAACGGGAGGAATGTGAACGATTTCCGTCCTAGGATGGAAAGTGAATGATTTCCGTTCTAGGGTGGAAAGTGAATGATTTCCATCCTAGGGTGGAAAATGAATGATTTCCATCCTAGGGTGGAAAATGAATGATTTCCATCCTAGGGTGGAAAATGAATGATTTCCGTCCTAGTGTGGAAAGTGAATGATTTCCGTCCTAGCGTGGAAAGCTTCTTCCAAGGGTAGAAAGCCTTGACCTCGCGGTAATTCGAGATATTTCGAGATTAATTTCCTTTTTCTTTTTTATGATAGGAATAAACGAAAATAACACTTCTAATCAAGATAAAATCATAAAATTTTAGAAATTTGATAAGGAAGAACCTCAAATTTATCTTGAAGTCATTAAAAAAATAGAAGAATCTAAACCAAAATTAAAAAACCATTATCGTAACCACTAAGTTGTTTCTACGTCCAGATTAACTAAATTCTTAAGTACAATAAATCAATGAAACAAGAGGAATAATAAATCTAACGGCTCAAATGTTGAAAAATGATATTTAACATTCCATTTTTCTATTTTATTATTATTTTTTATTGAACAATTTAATTGCAGATGGGCATTTGCGTGTGGCCAGTACTTCAGACGATAAATTTCGTGCTAATCCCGGAAAGGAATCGTGTTGTTTACGTGAGTGTGTGCAGCCTCATGTGGACATCCTTCCTCGCCTACATGAAAGCCCTCGACGCCGAGAGATTAAACACCAAATCACTCCACGAATATCAACCCGATCAGCCGACTCTCCCAGCAACTGCTAAGATCGAATCATCGACTGTAAAAATCCCGAGTACCTCAAAAACGAAAGTACCAGCCGCACCTTAACCATCAGGAAAAATTAAACTAGAAAGACTTGCAGGTTTCATTTATATTCTTGCTACTTACAACTAGGAAATATTGAATTGACAGTTTTATTGATGTTTGTCATCTAGGAAATTAAAAATGTACATATTTCTATGATATTATTTATTTATAATAATGATTGGTTCATCTGTAAATCTACGATTGAAAGTATTCAGAGTTTTTAGATAAAATTGTTGTGATATACGTGGGAAAAAACAAAGAAAAAAAATTTTCGCTTCGTTTAAAAAAAATATGAAAATTTGAAAATGAAAAATGAAAAATGAAATCAAATATCTCTGTTGAAACAGAAATTTCATAGAATTTCTCACAGCAAGCGAAAGGTTTTCCTTTCATTTTCCACGCGTTTAGACTCATATTCCCACATGTGACAATAAATTATAATTTATTCCAATATTGTTAATCAATACTGGACTATTAAAATCTATAGAAATTCCTCGAAATAAATTTTCCAAACAGGAAAATTGAATTTTATTCCACGCAATATATTTTACTAGCTAATGATTCTTCAATTGCCTAAAATTTGTTTAATTCCTGTAGATAATCCCGTGAGATTTGTTTATTATTAAATTTTCTTTGTGCTGAGGTGAGAATTGACTAGAATTTTTCTAATCTAGCTTAAAGATCGATTAGAATGATTCAGGTAGTCTCAGATTATTAATCTTATCAGAATTCCTCTCGTGGATAATGAACTTACAAAATAATACCTCAGTCGATCGTTCATTTCTCCCAAATACAGTAGTACGTCATGTCCAGCATAAAATTAAATATTTGTTTCGGGTTTTTTCTCGGGCTGGGAATAGTTGTGGCTATTCTCGCACTAGTCTCTAAATTCATTGTGTTTCCGAAGATTATTAACAACGAAATAGCTGAGGTGAGTGAATATATTAATAATCTATATAATCTAATGTATAATCTATAATAATATATATAATATATATATAATATATTATATAAATTAATTATTTAATCAGCGAGAGATTATTAATATATATTAATTTATATAATATATATTATTTATATACGATATATATTAATAATCTCTCGCTAATTTTTATGAATATTACTTGAATTAATTATGGGATTGACGTAAAAAATTTAACGATTTTGTGTTTTATTATTATTTAATGACTGATCAAGTTTCGAGCTGGTGCAAATATTCAATAAAAATTACGTGTCACGGAATTTCACCACGGCATTCCGTAATTCTTATCGGAATTATCTATAATTAATTAATTAAATAATAATTAATTTTTACTAAATATTCCGTGTGCGCCCTTTCTTCAGCGTTTTCTCTAAGCTTTCAAAAATAATTACAAAATAATCACAAAACTAGAGAAAAAATGGATGAAAATTATCGCATCACCAGAAAACTTCATTTAAATAATGACAAAACGTTATATTTTTTCGCATCAATTCCATCGATAATTGGCAAAAAAAAAAAATCAAAAAACGTGAATCTTGGCTATATATGGGGGTAAAACACCCTTAATTTCAAATTTATATTCAGGAGATTCAACTGATAAATGGCTCAGAAGCGTACGATAGATGGGTGAAAATACCTTTTCCAATTATCTATAAAGCGTATTTTTTCAACGTGACAAATCCTGAGGCTGTGTCTCAGGGAGAAAAACCAATTCTGCAAGAGGTTGGGCCGTATATTTACCAGTGAGTACATAAATTAAATATTGCGCCCTTTTTTTTCACCGAAATCCTAAAATTATAACCCTTCGTTTTTTTTGGACCCAGTTATATTTATAATTGATCGGCTAAAACGCGTCTTTTTCGAATTATGAAATACTGTTGAAAAATATTTCTTCATATAGATTACTATAAAATAATGTATTAATGCGAGTGTCTAAAGGCCATTATTAAAAAAAAATAAAAAATAAAAAAAATAAAAATAGCTATATGGATGTGATTTTTTTATGACTAGTTTTTTATTAAATAAACTGTAAATATCGATGTATTTATCGATGTTATTAAATAAAAAACCGTGTTAAGTAAAAAAAAAGTACATAAATTAAAATAGGCAGGAGCAATTATTTAATTACTCACGCCTTCAAAGGTTTTATAAACTGAAAAAAGACGAAATCTAATATAAATCACTATAAACAAATGATAAATTACAAAAAACATTTAGCTCGTATAAAAAACCCAGAAAATATTGACAGAGATAAATCGAAATTTGTGGAATTAGAAAAGAATGTCAGAAAAGAATTCACCGAAATGTCGTCGTTGTCGATAAATAATTTATCATTAATCGATTGCGTTGATAATTCTAGACAGCATAGGGCGAAATTGAATATCACCGACAGACTGGAAACCCTAGGATATAATGAGCACCAACTCTTCGAATTCGATGCAAAGGCCTCGTATCCTCTCACCGATTCGGATCCGATTAGAATTGTCAATTTGCCGCTGATGGTAAATAATGAGATACCCTTCTGCCCACTCAAATTGATTTTATTTGTTCATCTTTTGATCTTGCAGGGACTGATCGATACAACAGAAAGAGAGACCCCAGCCCTCGTGCGATTCCTCGATCTAATCATTCCCCAACTCTTCGATAATCCCAAGAATTTATTCCTGACGACGACTCCCAAAGATTTCCTGTTCGACGGAATATTCTTAAATTGCCAAAGCAACAATGTTCTCCTGCGAATCTTCTGCAAATCAATCGAGAAACTAGCACCCCGGACCATGGTCCGACAGGAAGACGGCAACATCAAGTTTTCATTTCTGAGTTACGTAAGTCCAATTATTGATATAACAATTTTATTAAATTTTTTATTGCATTTTTTTCTGTCATTTCCGTGACAGATACATGTGACTTAAATAAAATTATCGTAGGAATTAATTAGAAGTGTTTAGAGAAAGCGCAAGATGTTATTCATTAACACCGAATTCACATGGTTGTCTGTTTTTTTTAGAAAAATAATACGGATGAGGGGAGATTCGTCGTGAATAGCGGAAGAATAGAGCCCGAAAGGGTGGGTCAATTGTCATCATGGAATGGGTACAATTTAACTAACATCTGGCTGACCAACAGCTCCTGCAATAGAATATTTGGAACTGACGCCACCATCTATCCCCCTTTCGATAGCACGGACTCCATTTTGGACACATTTTCCATCGATTTGTGCCGGTAAATATGAATAATGTTGGTAAAAATACAGTGACGCTCAAAGTTCATTATTGATTGCGTTATTATCTCAATGATTTCGTATCTGAAGTGGTAATTTCACATATTTTCAACAGTTACCACACCCCGACAATGTAATAACAACATTTTAAAATGCATAAGTATTTTATCTTATCGCAGAACAGTGTCCTTGGAGTATTCAGAACCCATTGTATATTCTGGGATTGATGGATTACGATTTGTAGCGAAGAAATCGACCTTTTTGTCCCCGGGACAGGAGCCTTTGAATCAGTGTTACTGTCTCCACAAAACTAAGGGAATATTGGGACAAGATGGATGTTTGTTGGATGGAGCCCTGGAACTATTTTCGTGTCACGGTAATTTTTTTTTATTTTTTCAATTCAATCAAGAGATACCCGTTATTCCGAATTCCGCCAAGATAGCGCCGATATTGCGCCAATATTCTCCCAACATTGCTCCAATATTACCCTAATATTGTGTCAATGTTGGCTTAAGATCGCTCCAATATTGTCCCAACATTCCTCCAATATTATCCTAATATTGTGTCAATATTGTCTCAACATTACTCCAATTTTGTCACAACATTATACCAATATTGTCACAACATTACCACAATCTTGTCACAACATTACGCCAATATTGATCCAACATTGTGCGAAACCCTTTTCAATAATTACAAGTTTTTTCTGCTAAATGTCTAGTTCAGGTCCACCACGCCATTCTGGTGATTATATATCGTATTGTATGAGTTTCTATGTCCTGATTAAGGATCTGGCCATCTTTTCACCCGGAAACAATTAGTGTAGAAGATATCACTGATTACACCACGCTCTGAGTTATCCAGGGCCACGACAAGGACGTGGCGGTGCGTCAGCCCCAAAGACAACACATGTACATGATACACTTAAAGCCAATGGACAATACAGAACGATAGATTTTCCAAACGGTTTTGAGCCCAATCACTAAACTCTGAATTTGACTTCGCCCCACCACCTACGGCCACCGCCTGGACACGGGAGTGATTTTTCTGCCGCTACCCTTCTGGAGCAATTCAAAATATGTTTAATACTTGAATTAAATCACTCACTCATCGTGCCCACAGCGACAGCAGGGGAGGACGGGTCAATGAACTTCAGAGACACAAGAGTTTACCTCAAGACTGTTATTCGATGTATTTATCTCTTTGTTGTTTCTACCTGTCTTCTCACTTTATTTTCTGTTCACTGAGAGGATACGAATGGCTTATTGACCCAAGAAATGATCATTTCAATGATTATTGTTTTTGGTGGACCTGAACCATACATCTACCGTTTTTTTAATTATGTTAAGAGATGATAACTTCTGTTTTTAATCTAGGAGCGCCAATTGTCTTCACCCACCCACATTTCTACTTGACCCACCAAACATATCAAAACGGTGTTATCGGCCTGAAGCCTAATTCTATCAAACATCAGAATTTTGTAGACTTGCAGCCTGTAAGTTTTGAGAATACATATTTATATATTCGTTCATGTGAAGAAAGTTAATGGAGAATCCGTATATTTTCACAAAACTTATATTCATTTTCCTAGAGAAAGTATTAGGTTTGTCTATTAATTTTTTTCACGCGTGACGTGCATAATTTAATTGATCTATTTAAATTTCTACAGAACACTGGAGCCCCTTTGAGGGGAAGTAAGAGAGGACAATTCAATATCTTCTTGCGTTCAGTCGACGGTGTGTCGCTGACTTCCGGTCTGCGGACAACACTCATGCCCATTCTATGGTTCGATGAGGTACGACAGCATTTTCAACTGCTAATTATCATAGGAAACAATGATTACATGATTTATATTGTTTTAGGGTGTGGTACTCAGCGATAAATATGTAGATATATTGAAGGTCGACTTCTTAGACAAAATGCGGTTCATTGAAATTGGAGGCTGGGCTATATTCGCCTGCGGTACCGCCACCTGTATCCTAAGTTTTGTGGTGTTTATCAGTTGTCGATGTGCAAAGAAAAATAGTTGAAAATAAACTAGATATTTTCTGGTTTATCTCAATGGCTCATCTCTTCCTTTTTTATAAGAGGTTTCTCGAAAAACATTATTTTGTGGATTGGGTCATTCGTACTATCAGTTCTTGTTCAATTACGAATAGTGAATATAATATTTCATGGCTATATCGATATTATATCAATAAAAACTACTCTTTTATAGTTTGTGTCAATGGTTTTTTACAGAAAAAATGATTTTTTGGACTACGCGAGCCGCATATATTACTGCTGATATTATTACGGAGTTATTTGATCATTCAGGTCAATCCTCATCCCAATATTGTGTTTTTCTCCATTCTCTCACCCATCTCTTCCGCCATTTTGATTCTTACATTCTTGAATGTATCGGAAAGCATCCAACAAATCTGAGTAGTAGAACAGGATCACAGAAAGATGGGAATAACCTAATTTTTCATCAGTAATTCTGTTAAAAATTGGAGATAATGTGGATCATGAAATGGAATTGATGAATTGAAATAATTGGAGAAAAATTGGGGCTTATCTTGTTCGAATTTCAATAAAATGGGAGTTGTATAACAGGATCACAGGAAATTTCAAGAGTTATACGATTTCGTTGCCCATTTTACGGGCCATCGGGTGTGGAACCTCGCAGATCTAGCATAATCATTGAAAAATATACTTTATATTTACATTTCATTTCATTTTCATTTTCTTTCATGAAAGGAGATGAATAAATTGGTGTTCATATTATTCACTGCTTCTGATGTTTTTATTCTCATGAATTACAATTTCCCAAGGTGCCCTTAAATTACAATCCAATTAATACCCGCAGACGGTTCATAAATCTCATAAAAAAAGGGAAATCAACGACTGGAATAAATAATGATTACATTCATTCCAGGAATTCCTCCATTGCATTTCCCCATTTTGTGCCTCTCCCACCTAGTTCTTACAGACTACAATAAATTTGTGCGATTGATACGGAATCGGTTGTTAAATATATTACAGACTCCGATAAGAAGTGAGTCGTCATCAAAAATAGAGCATGCAGTTCCAGAAGATCGCCGATCACAAATATCATAAGAGAAAGAAGAATCGATTTATTTTTTGATTGATTAAATTAGCCTTGAATGGCGGATCCTGTTATTTATTATATTTAGTTAATCGATTAGAATAATCGTGATATGTTCCTTCGGGAATTCAGCTGGACGTCGGTTCAGTGGCCAAGCGTATCCTCGCGGTCTCCCGGGATCTGTTGTGAACCTCGGCTGTGCGAAAGGTTATTCCGAATATGTCCTCGTGATATCTGTTCTGATCCTGAAGGAATAACATCAAATTCCAATGAACAACAATTTGTATTGATTCCAAACTACAAGTTTAACCCATATTAATTATTAAGTCGACAATCACAATCAAATAGAGATGAATTCATAAAATGAAGATTCCCCAATTAGAAAATTAACGTAAGGTTTTGTGTCACCGTTTTATTTTGCTAAGATATCATATAATATAATAATACCATTTCCAAAAGAATGAAATATCATAATATACATTTAATAAAAAATTTAAAACAATAGAGAATGTTTTTTTAAGCCGATACATGCACGAAGTAACTTCAAAAAACGTTACACCGAATTGTTCGAAAAATAATGAATATGAAAACTTACCCTCAGAGACAACATGTAAGCTTCGACCTCTTTATCATTCATATGTCCATGCGTTTGAATAATGAGTTTAAGTGTCTGATACACGTCTTCGGCCATTGTACAATCACCGCAGACATAGAAGTGGCCTTGTTCATAGAAAAGCATGTTAAAGATCTGAGATGCCTCTGCTTGGATCAGATCTTGCACGTAAATCTAAAAGCGAACACACAAACAATACGTGAATACATGAATGCATGTGAACAACATGTGAATATGCGAATACATATGAAAAACATGTGAATACATAAATACATGTGAACACATGAAGGAAAATGTAATAAGTATGAATGAAATATTTTATCGTCGTGTACCTTTTTGACATCAGGCTCACGAGACAATGCCAAAAACACTCTGTCTAAGACTCCCGTCTCCATCATCTCCCTTTTCTCCTGTCTGTAAAGATCGAGAGTTCTCTGGCGACAGCCGAAGAACAGCCAGACCTTCCCGAATTCCTGCCCTGAAATTACATTTTTGTCAATGATATGTGATTATTCATAATAATCAAGTGATTACGTTTGTTCAGTAGCTTCTGGGCGTTCCGGTGATGCCAGAATCCACGGAAGGGTGCGATTCCTGTGCCAGGACCCACCAAAATCATCGGGGGCTCGGGATTCGGTGGCATGTAGAAATTAGGTGCACTGTAATTAATCATCAACTGAATTAATTAATAATTCACGCACCAATATTGCCTAACAAAATCGCATGCTAATTAATGAACAGTTTCAATAATCAAATAATTGCACTTTTACCTGCGAACAAATACATAAAGTGGTTCACCATCTGTTATTTCGTTCAAGTAATTAGAGCAGACGCCGTAGTGCACTGGTCCACTTCCCCCTTAATTAAAAATGTTGCAGTCACTCGTTTGTGGATTAATACATGATAATGAAAAATGAGCACTCACCCTGTGATTTATATTGTACGACAGCTACAGTCAGATGAATTTGGCCCTGATGTACTAACGGAGACGATGAAATACTGTAGAATCGAGGCTGAAGAGGCGTCAAGTGGAGAACGAACAATGGAGCATATGGCTTCACTGATGGGAATTCTACAAGCACCTCGAGTAAATTTGGGTATTTCCAGTGTTTCCAGTCTTCATAGGCAGCCGAATCCTAAAGGAAATTCACCGGATCAGTGAAAAACAACGATTAGTTTCGCCATTTTATAATATTCATAAACCCGTTTCGTTCTTGTATTTCAGATACTGTCTGCATTTTTTATGAAAATCAAGCTTACACTAGCGAGAAGATTCAACTGCGCCTTTTCTTTCTGGTTAGTAGCTATCGAGGAGAAGTATCTCAGCAAATTCGGCGTCGGCGGAGTCGTGATGTCCAGGAAGCGAGTCAGCAGCATCCTGAGGGAATTTGGAGAGAACCTCTCGTGAGGAACCCACGTCTTGATAATTCCGTTTGGAGTGTGCGACTGCTTTTGGGTCTGTAGCTCCATGGGTGTGTCGAAGTCCATCGTGGGCTCGATTCGAGCGAGAATCCCTTCGACTAATTCAGTTTTATTGCACGCAAAGACACCCAAGTGATCCCCAGGCTTGTACGGGATTTCCATGCTGGCCAGATCATCGAGCTCCAAGAGCAGAGTTGTTCCCCTAAAAGAAAATTATCATAAAATTCCGCAGAAATTTTTTTGAGTCAGTAATATCTTTTGCTCCCACCGACGTACCCCGCTATTCCCCCACTCAGATCAGTTTTCCGCAACATATTACACGTCGTGACGTTCCGATTATGGCATTTGCTTAGAGCTATAACAAGAAATGGTAAAAATTGAAGTGTGAAACAATTAACCATAAAAACCGTGCATTTCCTAAAGAAATTCAAGTAAACCAAGAAAATGAATACATTCTAAGATGAAACAGAATTAAATTATCAATGAGAAAATGAATTCATACTTTGACTGAAACATTAACTTAATGGATTTCATTAATTAATTCGTTTGCATTTGCATCTGCTGAGAGCTACAATATATTGAACATAAAAATCGCATTTTCTAAAAAAAGTCGCGAAGACCGAGAAAATGAATACATTCTAAAATGGAATAGAATCAAGTTATTAATGAAAAAATGAATTAACTTTTTAATGAAGTGATTAAATAAAAGGATTTCGTTAATTAATTCAAACTGAAATCATTTTATTGAATGTTATCATAATTTGTATTGGAGCAACAAATGAATTATCTGAAAGAACTTACATTTAGCGATCGGCTGAGGATCAGCATCGATGAACCTTACAGTAGACCTGGAAAGGGCCTCGGACCCCAGAGAAAGCGCCACCTCGAGAAGCGTCTCGTCATCATCGAGGCAGAAAGTCTCGCAGGCAACTGCAAAAGTGTCAGCAGCCCACTTCCGGAAGGCCTGCTCCTGCCCACACATCTCATCTCCCTGGGACAATTTCAAAAGTCGTTCACCCCCCAATTCCCCAAGGAGATTATCCACGTAACGGCCAAAGGCACAGAAATTCGGATAGGCTGACGAGCCCAGAGCAAATACTGCGAATCTCACGTTACTCAAGGGTCCGAATGTGTCTTCATTCTGAGATTCCGTCGTGGAGCCCCGGAGGGAATCTAATCTATCCAATTTCTTCACACTCCCGACTTCTGTTTGACTGTTTGCTTTGATAAATGACTTCGATGTTGCCAGACTAGAATCGAAATTGACAAACAGAAATCAAAATATCAACAAAACAAATAATTTTTCATTTCCATTCATTAAAAATGAAATCAGAAAACTTTGTTTCAAGAAAATAATCAATAAAATAAATAGCGTAATGATTATTTTAATTGAAAAATTGATTGGCTAGATGATTTTTATGAACTTTATACCTGATTTTCGCTTCACTATTGACATAAGTCTCATTCATCTTCATAGCATAGAGATTCTGAGCGAATGCCTCTCCATTCTCCGGTGGATCTCCATTCCCAAAAGTTGAAGTAATGACAAGCAGAAGTGCTTCATGCTCGATATTACTGATATCATACTCTGCCATATTGAGCACTTGGGAGTGAAAGGCATGCCCGAGAAGTTCCCCAAGTTTTTCGGCGTACATCTGAGAAGTGCCTGTCTCAGTTGCGAACAAAACTGTCGCCTTTATGCGACGAGATAGCGCACGACCGAATAATTTCGATGTGAACTTTACGGCACTGGAAGATAAACGAATTTACTTATCACGAGTAATAAGAAAATTGGGGATCTGGTTTTGTGGAATTCTAATGGGAATTCAAAAGAATTTCTATGAAATTTTACACGAAAAATACTAAGAGTACTTGACACAATCTTATGCCGATTTGACGCATAACAATGCAGAGTTTTAGCAATATAGGAAAAAGCTATCGTATGCGTAAGCTACAATCAATTAATCCATTAATCAATTAATTAATTGATGAAGCATCGTGCGTAGTAGTGTCAACTTTTTCGTTAACTGAGCCTAAATATCACAATTTTCTTACATACTCTGAAAAATAGTATATTTCGTAACAAGTGCGGAAAAGTGATTTTTGGCGTGTGAGAAGTTTATAGCAGGAGGTGAAAGCGAGTTTTTCATTAACTGAGTCTAAACATTGTGATTTC